AAACATTGCAAGCACTCTGATTATTCATGTAAAAAACGGAACACACTCAAAACAAGACTCATATAATATACCAATAGGCATATGATAAATAAAATCGTTCCAACAGTTGGCTATAGAGCCTAGATGAACTCGACCTTCTGTTGATTTGTTGGAAACGATCAGTTATACCAACGGAACAAAGGCACGACTGCAAACTTCATTTGGCCGACTCTACAGTGAAAGCCTTCTCTTTCGCCACACGCGAAATAGTATGGCTGCAATCTTTTCAGCACGAATTCAAACCCTTCCCCAACTCCTGCGTTGGCATCCCCGATTTTCTTTGCCCTTTTCAGGTCACAGTTTTGGTAGCTCTTGAAATTCGGTAGCAAGTACACGCTGTGCGGAAATGTGGTCGCGTTTGGCGCGTCGTATTTGAACACTACATATCACAATATTATGCATATTTCATCAAATGAAATTATGATTAAGTTACATCTTCAAATTCGTTTATAATAAGTATGTTTACTAATTATGGTTATTATTTGAACTAACACATATACAAGACTTGCAGGCTATGTACACTACAAAAAATTTGTTATATTCCAACGGAAAATCCTATGGTAAAATATTCCAATGGAAATTCTAACGGATATTCCAATGGTATAGCTTCCGTTGGGATGATTCCAACGGAAATTCCAACGAAAATATTTCGTTGGAATGTATTTTTCATTGGAATTTTAGATGGAATTTGATAATTCTAACGGCTATATTTTCAATGGCTTTTGACCGTTGGAATATGCAATTTCCGTTGGAATTTTTATTCCCACCACCGTCAAAATCCAACGGATATTCCAATGGAAAACTTACTCCAACGGAATATTTTTGTTGGAATTTCCTTTAGAATAATTCCAACAGAAATAATAGTATTGAAATATCTATTGGAATTGCCGTTGAAATTCTATTAGAATATATTTCCGTTGGAATTTCATCATTTTCTTGTAGTGGTAGTTTAGCATATAAACTTAGGTTGTACGTGCATGTGTGTGTATATGTAAGAACATATATGTATGATTTTTTATAATTCGGAAAATTAATTATTTAATTTCATACCCAGAGAGTCGTTCATGTAGAAGGGTAAGTTCGAGATAGCCCAATTGGAGTAATTAAACCCGAAATGCCAATTTTCAGATCCGCCCACAATGAATTTTCTGGAGCCCACCCTTGTAGTATTTTTGGGCCAATTATAGCCCCAAAAACCGCGAGCAGTTGTGCCGTTGAAGTTGGCAGCGCCACCAGTAGTGCAGTTGTTATTTGCCATGGTCAAGGCAAAAGTTGAAATGGTTGCGAAAAGAACAAGAGCCAATGCAAAATTTCTGGCCATTTCTTGTTGTACGTATATGCTTGGATGTAAATAAATTAATTAATTGGTGAAAGAGAGGAAATCAATGTATGGTAAGTTGATGAATTTTGTTGGTGTTGTAAGGATGAATGGAGATTAGGGGTTTATATAGAGCATGCAAGCGAAATTTATTGGAACGAGTCAAAAAGATTTATAACAATCGTTTACTTGAGTAGGTTGGTGAGATAGCATTAGCCAAAAAATAAGGTGTGAACTATTTGTTTTTTCTTCCTTGAATTACTTATTGGGTGGGGACCGTGAGAGTATGTAAGTTCTTATGAATTCATCCTTTTGCTAATTGTGAAATTCAGATTAGTTCTCCCTTTTTTTCTTTTTGTATGTGGTGTAGAATATTATTATCATTATTATTATTACTAGTACAGTCCCGTGCGATGCATGGGGATTTATTATCTTCGTCCCTTTTATAAAGCAGTGTTCAGTTAAAATTCAAAGTACTTACTAAAGGAAAGATCATGCCATTAATAATAAATAAATTAATAAATACAATGATAATAAAATCTATATATTATTGAACACTTCCTTATATACAACGTTCATGGTTTGATTCTTTGGCACGTCATCGTCGCTGCAAATTAGGACTTTCAAACCCATTTCTGTTTGTGACATGGGAGACAGCAACATACAATTGACCATGACTAAACACTGATTTCTTAAGAAAGAAGCCCACATGCGATAATTATTGTTCCTGACTCTTGTTTATAGTCATGTTGTAAGAAAATATAATGGGAAACAATTAATCCAATAACATCTACAAAAATATAAGAAAATGCATCATATTGAAATGTATAACATATAAAATAGTTTATTACAGATTTAAATTAAAAAAATCGAAATAAGAAATAAACAAAAAAATTATAACGTACCAAACAACATGACTTCATCAATGTTACGAACATCCATTAAAGTTAGAAATAGAGAAATCACCCCTCCATTTGATAAATCACCTTTCCATTTGATAGATCACCCCTCCATTTGATAATCTTGGTTTGACCATTGATAATGATCCTCCTTTTACCTATCGTCGATTTATGGATGCCAGTATTGCTATTCACTTGATAGTTTGTCAAGATATAAGCGCCACCTTCTTCGATATCACCGATGATTTTTTGGATATTGACAGGCCGAATTATGCCAATAATTCATCCTCCCTAAAACATTGCATAATGAATACTTCAATAACTAAATTATAAAAGATGTTGCATAAAATGATGCATTTAAATAATACTAAATGAATATATTACCTCAAAATCATAAAAGATAATCTCAAGAACATTTCGGTAATTGTGTACGTCTTCAACTCGTTGGAACATCCTAATTACGCGTAGCTTGATTGGTGGCTTATTGGATCTTTTGATATCCTTGATTACTCCAAAATCCGAAGCCATTTTCAATGGTGATGTAAAAGCTTGTAGAAAAATTTGTTTTGTGGGATATATTGGATGTCGAATACTTTTTGTTCAACGTTGGTGATGTTTATATAGTCATGTGTATGTGCCATATGTCTAGGAAATAAAAAAATATTTACGTAAGGTATTTAATATGATCCGATCCGATTTTTTTTATTATGATTATAATTGACTTCTAAAAATATGTGTTATCGGTTTTGTTAAAAAAATAAAAAAAAATGTGGAACGTGATTCACTTGTGAGAGACGAACGAATATTTAGAAGATTATGTAGCCAAAAATAATGGAGTTTGTTACAATGAAATTTGGTAAGACTTTTTGGATAGATTGAAAAATAATATTTTTATTTTGATCTATTTATTGGACAAATCCAAAACTTTAATTTACAAAATATAATCTTTAATTTTTTGAAACGTGTAAAATTTTCTAAGATAACTTCTATAAAACAAAATGTGATCAAATCATAATTGATTTTTATGCCTCAATATTCCAAATCAAACCTTACAAATATGGTATGATTATTTACTATTAATATTTTATTTTTTCAAACGTCTGATTCTCTTAGGTTTATATGAAACAAAGTTCAATCAAATCAAAATTGATTTTTATGCCCACATTAAAACTTTATCAATATGATATGTTTATTTTATTTATTTATTTTTTTTCAAATCCACGACTCAAATTTTCGAGAGAGAGAAAAAAAAAAGGAAACAAAATCTTATCAAACCTTATCAAATTTTTGAGAGAGGAAAAAAAACAAAAAAAAAATTAGAAACAAAATCTTATCAAACCTTATCAATAATGAAGATTCGTGTTTCCACGAAAAGCTAACAAAATCCCGTGGTTACCAAAATCCTATCAAATTAGTTAAGAAAATCCCATTAAATTGGTTTAACAATATTGGAACGCATTTTGTTAGGAAAGATTTACGTAATTTATCTATCTAATTAATATCATATTAACGTGTGGGCCCAGTGATATTAATTTAGTATAGCATCCATTACCTCAAAATAATTATTTGTTTGATTTACAACATTAATTTGAATGGAAAAAAATCCCTAATTGTTAAGATATCTCAATTCAAAATCTCAATTTTTTGGCATAAGAATTTTCAAATTTGTTACCAATAAAAATAGATTCCTATGGGATTAATATTTAAATATATTAAATTTTGGTATAAGAATCTCTAAATTTGTTACCATAAGAATCTTCAATTTGTTTCCATAAGAAACCCATAAAAATCTCCTATGGATTGAAGTTTATCAATATTTAGTATAGCATCCATTATTCTCGGAATAATTTTTTGTTTGATTTACATCATGAATTTAAAGGGGAAAAAATCCGAAATTGTTAGGATATCTCAATTCAAAATCTCAATTTTTTGACATAAGAATCTCAATTTGTTACCATAAGAATCTCATAGAAATCTCCTATGGGATTGGAGTTTATCAATAGTTGGTATAACATCCATTATTTTTGGAATAAATTTTTGTTTGATTTACAACATTAATTTGAATAGGAAAAAATCGTAATTGTTGGAATATCTCAATTCAAAATCTCAATTTTTTGGCATAACAATCTTTAAATTTGTTACCAATAAAAGTAGATTCCTATGAATTAATATTTAAAATGAATTAGATTTTGGTATAGGAATCTCCAAATTTGTTACCAACAAAATCTCCAATTTTTTTGGGATATCTCAATTAAATTTGTTACCATTAAAATCTCCAAATTTGTTACCATAAAAATCTCAATTTTTTTAGTAAATGTGTTTTTTTCGAAATTTCCATTAATAGTAAGTCAAACTATTTATTTTTTTAGTCAAACTTACTATAAAAATATTTTTCCAACAACCTCTTTATATTACTATAGATTATTATTATTATTATTATTATTATTATTATTATTATTATTATTAGTATTGATTATTATTGTTAATTGTTTTATTTATCTTGGCTTGATGGACAAGTTAAGAAGTATGGTTTATGGGAACCTTATTTAAAAGGACTCCTCATCTATTATTTTAGGTGGTTGTTTATGAATGAAAATATGAATTAATATCATAAGGTGTTCTAGAGATTGGGATCTCATTAATATCGGTTCACTCGTACGCTTCCCTACATCAGTTGGAATCAGAAGTCAGCATGATTGCCGTTGCAGAAGTATCCGGGTCGACGAGCAACGGGCTTCGACCGACAGATCAATCAATTGGAACGTCGGATTGAGAATCTTTCGACGGGGATCGAATCTTACTATCAACGACTTGGTTGAAAATTTGCAGACGAATCGTGACGCTGGCAACCGAGGCGTGCACTGGGGAGTTCGCGGAGGATGTGGAGGCCGTGGTCCAGGTGGGGCGCCCCGCCGGAGATCTCTACAACCACTGTCTGGTGACGAAGACGGCAAGGAGACAATCTCGGAGGTGAACCCCTTCGACGATTATCAACCTCCGCACGTTGAGGTTTAGCCCTTCGCTGCGTATGGCGACCGTGATATGCGACGACGGGGTCGCGTCTTATTAGACAACGACAATCAACGCAGCGACAGCGGCTGGCGCGACGAGGAAGCCTTCGCTGGCGCGACAAGGGCATGAGTCTGAAAAATTTTTGTCATCTTTTAAACCATGTTTCATAACCCTTGACGGTGGTGTTGCATCTGGATTTAAGAAACCTAAAGAAGAGGAGTTTGATACGCGGTTGTATATGTTGAAGTAGTTTCATGATGGAGAGTGTGATGTTGCCATTGTTGACGATGGTGAACTTTTCAAATCACTTCTCAGAAACAAAAACTGCTATTTATTGGATTGTGGTTCCGAAGTATTTTTCTGGGTTGGCCGGGTAACTCAAGATGAGGAGAGGAGAAGTGTCATTCGAGCAGCCGAGGATTTTGTGGCTAGCCAAGGTAGATCACAGTAATACCATGGGTTCGCCACCACACACCAGCCATGTGAGCACGTCGGCTTCGAGGGCAAAACCTTCCAAATCTGAGGAAAATGGTGTAGAATAATATTTGTATTTTACAGTGACTAAACTACAAACATAATATGTATTTTACATTATTACTATACAGCTACAAGATTAAATATAAATATTGTATCGCTTTAAACGTAATTTTCATGACACCAATTATTTTTTTCTAATTACAAACTGTTTTTCCTTTTTCATGTTGTTGTTATTTCTTCAATTAATGTTATTTATAATTCCAAATGAATAACAACAATTGCATATAAACTAAATTTTTATTGCTAAAGCCAGAAAGTTTGTGAGAATAAAAAGATAAACACCATAGTCATTCTAAGAAAAATATATAATATAAGATGGTAAGTCGTGTAAGTGGCGATGCCAATTTAAATATAAATAATAATATATTATTAAGAAGGTAGTTGAAAACTAAAACAATTTTTGTTGATATTATTATTTAATTTAAAATATAATTTTTTTAACAAGTACCCGTGTAGTACACAGGTATTATACTAGTATTTATATTAATACTATAAAAGTAAGTGTACAATAATTTGAAGCATAAAATAAATATAATAATATTAAATAATATTTTATATATATTATTAGCTTATATTACAGATCGTGTTCTGTTTACATATGAAAAGAAGAAGTTGCCGTTGGCAGGAAACTAATTACACTGAGCAAAGTGTTAGACTTAGCAAAGTCGTGCACTTTAGCCTGAAATGGAAAAACAACATAAATTTCATTGATTTCTTTATTGATATGGTAAGAATTACGATGATCAAGATGATATTGCCATTTTTTTTCTTAGTATACCAACATGCACTTGTTGATCGTGGGCGGTGATGTTTTTTATGACTAGAATTATTTTGAAAGCATCTTATTTGG